TCCCAAGTAGCTGGGATTACAAGCTTGTGCCATCATGCCTGGCTGATTTTTGTATTTTTTAGTAGAGATAAGGTTTCACTATGTTGGCCAGGCTGGTCTTGAACTCCTGACCTCAAGTGGTCTCCCAAAGTGCAGGATTACAGGCGTGAGGCACCGCGCCCAGTTTTTGAAATTAGGTATTTTATTAGGAAAAGCCATATGAATGGTTATGTGGGTTTGCAGTAGAATTTACTTTCAAGTCAGCTCCACCAGGAATAGTTTAAAGATCTCATAGGCATCTGTAATGAATAACAAACATTGCCTGTATTTTCAGCCATACAGTCTTATTTTTAAGGTTTGATCTATGCAAATACAGTATTATATATAGTTCCTGTAATGTGTAACATGTAGATTATAAAGTATATGAATAACTTTTCAAAGGAACACAAACTCTTCACAGGACAGTCTCTGGTTTGGGTGCCATACAGTTTGGATCTCGGTGGATGATGAATTATAAGCCATAATAATCTGACACTATGTCAAGAGCAAATTTGTGTGTGTATATATGTATATATGTACATATATTTATGTGTTTGCATATATATGTGTGTATATATGTGCATGTGTGTATATATGTATGGGGTTATATATAGTGTGTGTATATACAGGTGTGTGTATAAGTATATGTATATATGTGTGTATATGTATGTGTGTATGCATATATACGTATGTGTGTAAATGTGTATATATAGGTGTGTGTATATATGTGTTGTGTCTGTATATATACATGTGGATATATGTATGTGTGTGTATATATATTTATGCATGTGTAAGTTGAAAAGTAAGCAGTCCAAATTTTCCCTTTTACAGACAGACACCAAACCAGTGCAGATGATGAACATGGAGGCCACGTTCTGTATGGGAAACATTGACAGTATCAATTGTAAGATCATAGAGCTTCCTTTTCAAAATAAGCATCTCAGCATGTTCATCCTGCTACCCAAGGATGTGGAGGACGAGTCCACAGGCTTGGAGAAGGTAAGGAGGAGGCAGGTGCTCTCCACAAAGGCACCCCCTTTTCTTGGCAAAGAGTCATGCAGACAGGGCTGTGTGGGCCAAGAGAGCTGGGCTGGGAGCCCTCCCTTATTGCCATTGGCTCAGTCACCTCCAAGGTCCCATGCTTCTTTCTGGGGCCTTTCCTCCTTAATATTAACAACAGCCAACATTTATTTGGCACTTACAGTGTTCTAGGGACTGTGCTAAGTTGCCTACATGCATTATCACATTTAATTCTTACAGCAGGCTGATGAATTAGAGACTGTTACCACACTCTTGTTTACCAGTGAGGGAACTGAGGCACAGAGGGGTAGGTAACGGGTCTGTGGTCATATAATTAGCCAAGGGTGTGTGCAGGATCAGGATTTGAGCCCAGGTACTTGGAGCCAGGTCCTTAACTGAAGGCTAGCGTGCCTCCCTCATCTAGGGAGTAAGGCACTACGTTGCTACGCACTGCCAGGTCCACTGTCATGTGACCTGATATCAAGCATACTGTCTCCTGCTCTTTCTTTTTTTTAAATTAGTAGATGTTATTTTTTAGAGCAGCTCTATGCTTACAGAAAAATGAGTGGAAAGTACAAGAAATTCCCATATACTCCCCTTCCCTACAGTTTCAGGCCTACAGTTTCACCTGTTATTAGCATCTTGCATTAGTGTGGTATGTTTGTTACAATTGATGAGCCAATACTGATATATTATTATTATTATTATTATTGTTGTTGTTGTTGTTGTTTGAGAGACAGGGTCTTGCTCTGTTGCCCAGGCTGGAGTGCATCCACCCGCCTTGGCCTCCCAAAGTGCTAGGATTACAGGCATGAGCCATTGCACCTGGCCGCATCTCTCTCATTTTTTAAACCAGTTAAAAGGGATGCATTCACTACCTATGACCTTAGGGAATGGCTCAGAGTTAGTTCAAGTTCCCATTAAAAAAAAGTAACTTCAGCTTTAATTTAATTTATTAAATCTGATACCATTCTTAGTACATGAATATTCTGGATTTCCTCGTAGAGAAATTACAATAAGCATTCAAGAAATATGTATAAAAAGGTTTCTAATTTTATACTCATTTCACTATTGTGTATGCAACATCATAATCCAGGCATTTGTTTCTATAAATCTATTCTCTAACTTAAGGTTGGGTGCGGTGGCTCACACCTTTAATCCCAGCACTTTGGGAGGCTG